ATTCGAATCACAAAATATAACTTCAAAACATCTTAATATGATCTTTGAATGCTACCATTTTCTCTTTTTATCTAAAGTGTTTTTTCATGTGAGCGGAAAAAGATAGCGTTTACTCCTATTTCATCCCAATGTAAAACCAGCCTTAAAAAACTTTTAGCATTTAAAGCTCTATTCAAAATTTTAAATCTAGGGAATGAAAATACGAATCATATACCTTGACGCAATTTTATAACTCATGTTTTCTATTACACATCTTTTATATAACGATACTTTTTGCAAAATAAATTCACGAAAAGAAACAAGAGATTTCTTTGAAAATGCTTGAAGTTTTCGCATGCCCGAATTACATCTTTTGAAAGCATTTAATATAGAAAATCAAAAACATACAATCAGATGGTTTTACCCATTATGAATATTATAAATCTGTTTCATTTCAAGTGCAGGAAGTACGAAATATATTCAATTTGATGTAGATTAAATTTAATTTCGATTTAGTTAATTTTTAATTTTTCTTTAATATTAAAAAGTATAAAGAGAAAATTAAACAAAAATTAAAGTCACTAATGAAAAATTAAAGTCACTAATGAAAATGGACAATAATGTGGCATTTAGAAATAATACTTTTGTGCTCCTTCTAATATCTTCTATAACTTGTTTTGCTTTTTGTTTTCTATTTCGACGACCGACAGAGAACGTTATTGCACGGTGAAATCTTCTTTCTTTTATTCCTGTGAGTGTCAGTCCACAATAGGTGATTTAAGCTTTAAGAAGTAAGAAATTGACCAATTATAATCGAATATGAAAAGAATAATCGACTATGATTGGTCAATTTCTTACGGCTTAAAGATTAAATATTTATTATGGACCGACACTGACCCATCACAAGTTCGATGAAATCAAAATATTCATCGGTTACGTACAGTCTTGTCGTGTCGTTCAAAAAATAAGTGATGGACTTTATAAATATCGTGCATCGAAAGGTAGTGTGGCGGTCCCCCGCTCACACAACTAATACCTAGCAGAAACATACACGAAAAAGTACAGTGGCCCGCATAGCGCAGTGGTAACGCTCGAGACTCATACACCTGAGGACCACAGGTTCGAAACCCACTGCGGCCAACATCTTTTTTCCGTCACCAAAAATTCAACATCATATCGTGGACAACGCTCCTCCAACACCAAAGCCGCCGCCACAACTTGGTGACCCCGACGTGATGTGAACACGCAAACCTTCTGATCTTCACCCATCGAAATACAGACACGGCCTTATAAAGCCCGCTGCTTTCGATCACGTGACTCTCCTTGGCCAACCAACCATCGGACGCACTCGACTTGCCGAGGTCTCTCACACATCTCCCTGTCGACGTCCATACGGCCAGCCCACATCACAACCGGTACAGCCAGCCAATCACTGGACACCCTCGACTTTCAAGGTTACGCTCCAACCTCACTGTCGATCGTCCACATGGCTCGCCCA